CAACGAAATGTGTGTTTCTTCAGATTCAGCGCTTTGATAAGATAAAACATTTTTGTCAGCGGTTTAATTCAGATTGGGAAGTATGTTTGAAAGCAAATGTACACTCTTTTTTAAGAATGTTATATAGACTAAGGTTTTGTTTTCTTTTTATCTATGGTTGTGTTCAAATTGAGTATTTATTCAAACTATAGACTGCATTTTTAGTTGAAATCATACATTTTGTTATGGCTATATCCAATATTTAATTAGGTAGTTTCTTAAAGACAAAGGTTGACTCAAACAACGCATTAATTAAAATTGAGCTATCTGTTTAAATCGATTCGTTTTAAAGCAAAGCTGTTGGCAAATCAAGCATGTTGTTCAAATGAACATCTTTGCGTTTAAAACATTCGTTTTGTTTATATAAAGTCAGATAGGGCAATTCTTTTTTTATATTTTAAGTGAGGTTTTGTTTAAATGGAGGCCTTCTTTGAAAAAAAAAAAAAATTACTAAAAAAAAAAAGTCCTATGTTTTCACAAATGCCGTTTTATTTACAGTAATTTGATTGCAAGTTGGTTTATAATTTAGCCTTCTGGAGCAGTGATTCACAAACTGTGCGCCGTGGCGCCCCGGGGAGCCTCGACCTCTTCACAGGGGCGCCGCAAAATTTTCGAAGATACACGAGTTTTTTTTTTTTCTTTTACATACGAATAGTCGTACTTTTACTAAGGTTAGGGCACCGTGGAACAAAAATGTAACTGAAAAAAGGCGACGCGACTAACAAAAGTTTTGGAACCACTGTAGTAGAGAATTATTTAATATGATTTGGCTACCACACTTTTTTAAAACTATTTATTTACTGAAAAGTAAACACTATCTATTTCACTTACCCCTATATTTAGGGAAACCCCCGTGGTCTAGCGGCTAGACGCTCGCCTGCGGATCGGAAGGTCGTGGGTTAGAGTTCTGAAAGGGATGGGACTTGTTTTCAAAAATGGCCTTGGCTCCCAGGTCGACCAAGCCTTGAGTGGGTACCAGGTACAGCCTGGAAAGCAAATGCGGCCAACGTGATGCTGACCACATCGACCACAAAGTGCCGTTTGGTCTATAAAATTTAGGTCTAGCCCTGTATACCTAATAAGCCTAAAAGCGTAAAAAAGGATCCTTTACTTTTACTATACATAAAAGGAGTACATATTTTATTGTTTATGTTAGTGTGGCTGCTGTAATTGCCAGCAGAATTTGAACTTTTCGTTTGCTGCTGAAGATTAGGACGGAGCACTTATGGGGGGGGGGGGGGGGGGGGGTGGCCTAAGTGCTATGATGTCAATTCCTAATTCAACGTTCAACATTTCCATGTGGCTTGGTTGTAGTAGAGACTATGAGTGCCTGAACGTTGAACATAGCTGGTGTAATTTAAAACCGTGGGCACCCAAGGTTTTATATAAATATCTTAGGGCACGATCAAGGCTTAGTCCGGATCTGCGTACGTCCTATCTAGGAGCTACGTTTTCCACCTCTACCCCCAAACCCGGGAGTGTCACTTTGACTCTAATGCCTCGTGGAGTTATAATGTTAACCTCGTCAGGCTCAAAGATTCATTAGTTTAGGCAAAAATATTGTTTGGTGGTTTGAATAACGAATCAACATCACGGCACAAGAGTAGTAACCCATAAGTGTTCCGTTCTACTTCTAACTCAAGCCTAGGGGAGGTGGGGGGGGGGGGGGGGGTGATCTCGAGGCATGGCATCCGCCTCAAGTGCTGGATGTCCCGGGTTCAGGCCTTAGAGAAGGCTGGGATTTTTTCACATGGGCTTCTAGTATTTCCCCCTGATCTCTGGCTAGTAAGATCAGACGCCTGTGTATATTGTTGCGCAAGTACAAAAACAAATTCCAGTGTGAAATCTAAAAGAGTAGCCTAATGGCGCTGCCGGGGCAAAATTTGGAGTTACAAATCTACCCAATGTATTTCAGGGTCCTCGCCGGTGCAATGGAGTTCATGCACTGAACTGAGATACTTCAGACTCAGGCTTGAGTTAGAAGTAGAACGGGGTGCACCCGTGTGCCATGATGTTGATCCGTCTCAAAAACAAACAAACAAACAGATCAAACGGACCATCTGTGATTTGTCTTTTTGGTCTGCTCTTCAGACAGAAATTGTTATTTCAGTGTGTCAGACTTTCTGGTAGCAGCTCAAAAGGCAAAATGAAAATGAAAGAGTTCCTGTTTGTTTATACGGTGATACTGCGATATTTGTTCGATCTGGTAAACGTTCAACTTAATATACGTCCTGTTTAGACGTGAAAACTATTGCTGGGTATACGACCTTTGTTTGAAATTCTAACCCCTATGTGTCTAAATTAGATATGACACCGCACACTTTCATTATTTACCTCGCTCAAGTCAAAGCTACGGACAGATGTCAATGATATTGCAGGGACGTATCACCACTCTCACCCCTTCCAAGCCCAAACAAGTCGTAAAAGCCTTGTCTATAATGTCCAGACAATGTCGGGTTTTCGAAAGGTCCTATGGAGAAGGCAGAAGCAATGTTCCTTATGCAGATTACTAGTCCAATTCAAACATTATGAGTGAGCTCAGCCAGGTTGAAGTAGCGAAAAAAATGTCAGAAAAAAAAAAAAAAAAACACCAGACATCTTTATTTTTCTTTTTGTTCTCTTCATTCGTCTATTGAACCACATCCCCACGGCTTCCTCATAATTGTTCCCTTATCGGCTAGCTGCCCATGTGTGAACATATAATCATTCAAAATAAACTCATAATCAGTTAGTTTTCTTTAGTTCAGAGTTCTACTAAACATAGACACGAAAGTAATCGTGAAAGGTTGACGAGTTGGTACAAACTATTCATCTTCTGATAAGGTACAATTGTTCGCTCTTTTGAAGCTCCACCCTGGCTCTTGGCAGGGGCCGCAATACAGCCTCGCAATAAATATTGCCTAATGGCTGAACGCGGTTTCCGGGACCTCTCCACGGGTGATCCTCATCCGCAAGATGGCACTTTATGTCATTGGGTGTTTATCGCTTGCGTGATGTCCTGGTAGGGTAAAATGTACTACGTCTACTACGGGTTGGTACATTCGATGGATATTGCAACACCCAAGAGGTGTTTGTTGCTTGAGACGAAAGAAGAGACTCAGTTTACTCCTGCCTTCATTATGGTGTAAGTTAAGTAAAGTAAAGGACCCTTTTCCACGTCTTAGGGCGTATAGGGCATATAGGGCTAGACCTATATTTTTTATACACCAATCGGCACAAGATGGGTGATGTGGTCAGTATCACGCCTCATTATGGTGTAATAATTTTAAATGTTGGAATTTACATATTGTGTTAAACTATTAGAACTAGTTTTCAGATTATGTAAATTGTTTATTTTGAATTATAGTGGATCTGCTGCGAGGCGGTACCAGTTACCATGTGCAAGCGTTAGCAGGTGGCAAATACACTGGAAAGGGCACTACGTGATATTTTTCTTCTTGTCGCTTTACTTATGAGAGTATGTGTGCACCGTCAGCATCAAAGTAGTATTAACTGGTAGCTTTCACACGTTATCGTTTCTACATGATTGGCGTAAGCATGTAGAAATTGTTTAATGTTTAATTGAGAATCGACAACACAACACTGGGGACATTCCCATAACCGCTCCGTCCCCATCTTCAGTAGCCAGGGCAGAGTTTCATTTCCGATGGTACAAGTAACAGTCTGATTGTATATCCGAATGTTGATCGTCGGCAGTATCCTCTGATTACGTCTCGCAGCACCATTCTTCTCAGACCACGATGAACCATCTGTGCATCCGTACTGTTTACTCTATACAAGTCTGATTTTTGCTCGTACACTCTGGCCCACCCCTTTCCTAACCCAACGTTATCAAACCTATACAGGTCTAATTGTGTCTTAAGCTTGCGCCATCCAAGACCTTCCTCTTGTCAGTCAGTGCCCCTTCGCTCTGTTTAAGGCCTCATTCAGAAGTTGTTTCTTATCTGCGGCTAATCTGAGATATGTCTTTGCTTACAGAAGGTTAAGCTCAACCATAATAGTCGACAGTGCAAGGATACATCGATTGCCTAATACCAAGGTATCTCTTGCACATCCCAGAATAACCTTTAAGGCTTCATTCTGTATGCGTTTAAGTTTTATCAGCTGACTCCATCCATAATAGTCGACAGTGCAAGGATACATCAATTGCCTAATACCAAGGTATCCCTTTCACATCCCAGACTAAACTTTAAGGCTTCATTCTGTTTGCGTTTAAGTTTTATCAGCTGACTCTTTGATACAGCATGCTTTCCAAGTCCACATTCTGTTACTGAGAGGACCGAGTGCTGGAACATTGTGAACAGCATTCTTTTTTTTTTTTTTTCATGCCCTTTGCTGTCATAATCTTAAGCGCATTGAAGTCCTTTCTGGCATTTCGTCCACACTCGTTGTGCTGCTTTTTTCGATTTCCAATTGCCACGGGATTTTTTTTAACGTGCCCAACAACACACACAGGCGTCCGATCTTACTACCCAGAGACCAGGGGAGATTACAAGAAGTCTATGAGTATAAAGATTAGAGCGTTCATGGCTAGTGGAGTCGCCAAGGACTGTGCAGATAAGCATTTGGCTACTGGAGTAAATAAAGCCGTAATTTTACCCAGGATTCTAACCTGGGTCTGTCTTATTAGAGCCCAGCATTCATAACCGCTCGGCCAACCGCTTTTCCTAATGATAAAATGAACGAAAGAATAAACTTTATTTTCAAAGCTTGGAGAATTGGATACACAAGCTCGCCTAATATTCTATCCTTTTAGTCTCACTCCTCGCATAAAGTTATTCATTCAGTCATCATTTTATAGTTAATTATATACGATTTCAAATGTATCTAACTGTGAATTACAAACGCTGGAGTATGCTCTAATTATATTTACATTAGTTAATTGTAATGATTTTTAGTATATGTGATTTTACTATAGAAAGGCGATCAGGAAAGTTGAAAGAACTACATTAGACATGAAG